GCCCCTCCCCCCCTCCATCCCCCGCCGCCCTGCCCTCTCTGCCCCTGGGAAGAGCTCTGATGCTCCCCACGGCCACTGCCTGGAAGGGCTGGTGCGCCCGCTGCCGGGTCCCCCCACCCCCACCTCCACCCCCACCCCGGGCAGAGCCAGCCCGGCCCAGGCGGCGGCTGCGTGACAGGAGGCCCTTCCCAGCCCGACGCGGCTGCAATGCAGCCTGATCTCATCGCCGGCCGTCACGACACGCGCTTCCTCTGCTGCACGCGGCGGAGCGTGAGAGGCGCCGGGCCCGGCCCCCCCGGAGCTGCGTGCGGCCAGCCCGCCCGCCCCCCGGGCCCGCCCAGCAGAAGCCGGTTCAACCGCAGGTGACGCCGGCCCTCCGCCCGCCGTCCTTTAGCTGCCCCCGGACATCAAACACGAATCTAACCCCCAACCCCCACCCCACCCTGCAGGCGGCGGCCTTCGCACCACCGGGCCCCCGCGCTCCCGGCCCCTCTCCGCCCCCCCCTCCCTCCCCACACGAAGCGCAGCTGCCACCCCACCCCGAGTTCAGGAGAAGGCGCCGGGCGCGGGGGTCAGTCGCCTGGCAATGCAGCTCGGCTGCTGTGCACCCGATTCCCGGCAGCAGCCCCAGCCCCACCCCCACCTCCACCCCTGGCAGGGCGCTGTGGGGGGTCTCTTCCCGGGTGTCCCTACCCGGGACGGAGCGCCCGCGCCCCCACCCCCCTGCGCAAAGGGCGGGGCGCGAGGCTGCCTCGCTACTGTGGCCGCCGGCCCGGGACACACACACACACACACACACACACACACACACCACCCCCGACGGGGCGATCGGGCAGAGCGGGCGCCAGAGCTGCCAAGGAAGCTGAGTGAGGTCCCCGGGGCAAGACCGATTCCTCGCCCATCTCCAGCCCCCGCCTCCTCCTCCCCCTTTCCCCGCAGGTGTCTGCTTTGCAGCAGCGGAGCTGGAAACTTTTCTTTCTTTCGTTCTCTCTTTTTTTTAAATATATTTTATTGATTTTTTACAGAGAGGAAGAGAGAGGGAGAGAGAGCTAGAAACATCGATGAGAGAATCATCCATCAGATGCCTCTTGCACCACCCCTACTGGGGATGTGCCCGCAACCAAGGTGCATGCAACCAAGGTATTGATACATGTCCTTGACCGGAATGGAACCTGGGACCTCCTCAGTCCGCAGGCCGAGGCTCTATCCACTGAGCCAAACCGGTCTCGGCTGGAGCTGGAAACTTTCTGGCATTCAGTGGGAGGCATCGCCCTCTCGGGCTGAAGTTGGCCGGGGACGGGGCGCGCTGGGGGGCCGAGCAGAGCCTGGGATCCTGGCAGGATCCGGCAGCCGGGTCCGCACGCGAGGCGGTTCCGGCCCCGGGGAGCCCGGCGCGCACGGAAGCGGGGCGGGGCGGGGCGGGGGCTCGGGGTTGCGTGACCTGCCTGCCGGCGGCCGCACGCACTTCGTGCCCCGGGCAGCCCTGGCCACCCCGGCCGCCGCGGGGCGGGGCCGCAGGTGCTGGAGGGCGGCGCCGGCTGCCACTTTTACAGCCTGGCGCGGAGCGGAGTCACGCTATCGTTCTGGGACCGGGAGCGCGTTCCCCGGGAGGACACAGCGTCTCCTTGTTATCAGGACGAACGTGGGTGACACGCGGTAATAAAACCCGCTCCGACGGGGCGTGGGGAAACGCGCTGGGAAGCAGAGCTGCAGGATCAATGAGCTGCAGGATCAATGAAGCTCTCCCAGGCCAGCTGTGCGCTCCGCAGGGCGCACAGGTGCGGCTGGGGTGGCAAGCTCGCACGGAAAGGAACCCGAGCGGAGGCGGCCGGCTCCTCCGGGGCACGCGAGTGTTGTCTCCTCTGCACGAAGCTCATTAGTAACAGTCATGGTGCGTGCATGCTGTCATGCCTCCTAGAAGCGTACTTCCCAGTGTGTGTGTGTGTGTGTGTGTGTGTGTGTGTGTGTGTGTTTAACGCTTTGTGAATTTTCTTTTATTGGGACATAGGGGGTGGGTAACTTGGTGGTTACACCCTACCAGGGTCTGTCCATTCTAATCCTCCTAGGCTAGCTTTAGCTCTCTTTGAAGGAGGAACCTCTCAGCAGTGGACCTGAAGAGGCTGCTAGTAACAACAAGAGCCCCAAGAAAAAGAAAAAGCTAAAGCCAGTGTGTTTTATTTTAAAATCCGAGGTGCCTCAGATCTCTGGCACGCTAACTGCAGAGGACCTCCCGTAAGTGGCGACTATGGAGTCCCACGGGCATTAAGAAAAAAAAAGGAAGAAAAAGTTACAGATGTTCTGTATAAAGTGTCAGACTCTAAGTTCCTTCACGAGATCCCATAAACAAAATATGTACTCTGCTCAGACGTATTATTTATAGAACTCAAATGTTTGGAGGTTTGTTGATAAATCAAGTTTGGAGGGCGAGACAAAAATATTAACACCAAGACAGATTAATAATACAAAACCACTCCAGTCAACGGAAAGCTGGAAAAATTTCACATTCGCTTATTTTTTGTTTAAACGTTGATTTGGTGGATCTATGCTCTTATTTCCCTGTTATTACCCATAAGCCTATAATGCCTAGCTACACCACCACCACCACCCACACACACACAGGCACAATTTATGACACAAGTAACACACCATGATTGAAGAGGGGGATTCTCTGAGGTTAGGATACCTACTGTACACTGTGAAATACACATGTTCGCCTCCCAGTTTATGTGGAAAGAGAGCAAGATTCGCTGTTTAATTGTAAAATGTTTTCCCGGCTAATGCTGATTCCCACTTAAGCTGACATAGCAATGTTGGTCTAGCACTCTTTCCTTCTGGAACAGAACTGTCCCTCTTCTTCACATTCTGCCCCTATTTTTCTAGACATGTAATTAGAAAAAGGGAGGCGTCCTCATGTGTGGCCTTGCCTCCCTGGTTCCCACAACTGGTCAGGAGGCATGTGTCTGACTCCTTCTGGCTTCCGGGATTTGGTCAAGGAGCTGATGGATCACCAAGATGTGCCAGCCACTTCCCGAGATTTTCCTAAGGGTAGGTTGGGAGTAAACAGAAGCTTCCTCTCTTTCTCTTGGTGGCAAAACTGGACTGCTGGCTGCCACTGACTTGCCATGTACAGAGACTATAAAAGAGATCAACTTTCACAGAGGGATAGATTCAGGAGGCTGAGACTCTCTGTGACCTTTTAGAGTTCCAGAATTTGTATGTGACATTCTCAAGGCAGTCCAGTTTCCTGCTTTCTTGAAGATTTTAAAAAATATATATTAAAAAATATATTCAGCATTTTTTAAATATATATTTTATTGATTTTTTTTTACAGAGAGGAAGAGAGATGGATAAAGTGTTAGAAACATGGATGGGAGAGAAACATAGATCAGCTGCCTCCTACACGCCCCCTATTGGGGATATCCCCGCAACCAAGGTACATGCCCTTAACCGAAATCAAATGTGGGACCTTTCGGTCCACAGGCTGACGCTCTATCCACTGAGCCAAACTGGTTAGGGCTTATTGAGCATTTCTGTTGTTTCAGTGAGGTACTCTGGTAGTCCAATAAAATATACATTGATAGAAATAATTAACAAAATGTATATTTATAACGCTATTTGGAATACACTTTACAATGATGTCATTTTTAACTTGCTTTTTTCCACCGAAAAATCTATTTGGGACATTCATCATTATTTTTAATAGCTGTACATCTTGCTGATAAACCAATTTATTTTACATTTTGGTATTTTCAGCTTTTGAACATTATAAACAAGACTGTGGTGAACACTAATAAGAAAGAATTTTTCCAGAAGCTTCCAGCAACCTTCTCTTGGAGCTGGTTAGGTCAGAATTGGGTCATAAGCCCATTCCATTTAAGTCACCAGTAAAAAGTTCGACTAATCCGAGTTCATTTCTGGAGTTGGGCTAATTTACATGTACTTATAGGGTAGAGAATGGAAATTCTGTTCAGTAATCATATTCTTCGGGCCAAAAAGAATTCCGTACACAAGTCATTCCTGCACAGATGACAATACATATGAACTCTTAGAGAGAAATGCTATGTAAACATTTTGACCTTCATTTTTGTAGGTACTTAAGTTTACACTGCACACAAAATGGATTCAAGAATATAAAGAGTATAAACCAAAGAATAGTATTTTGTGGCAAAACCCATCCAGACCCGTTACTTGGGTTTCAAAATACACAAAGTAGCTTTATGCAAGGATCCAAAACTTTAAATGTCAATGAGCAGTTAAAAACACACACCAGTATTAGGAAAGAAAATCCAATTTACATCTTGGTGGGAAATATGTTGGGGTAAGTGCAACAAAGCAAGTGGTTAATTGTAGTTGACCCCTTTTTTGAAAACTGGAAACTGTGTTTGAAAAGTCACGAAGAAAGTAAGTCTAAGACAACGTTAAGTTTCCAGAATTCAATACGTTTTGGGTTTTTACATATGTTACTAATCCACAGTAGGCTGATGCCCTGTGGGTACTGGCTGGCTGGCAGAGTCCACTAATACAATATACGAAGCCATGTGCTTCTGCTTACTCTCACATTCAGTCCAAGTACACTTCAGTGCTCGTGGGTTGGGCCATGGCCTTGGCCACTTCAACCTTCTAGGGGAAAATAAGCAGTAAGTAGGATCTGACTTTGTTATATATGTGAGTATTCTCAATAAATAAGACATGTATGAAGTACCTGGCAGATAGAATGAGCCCAATAAATGTTAACTTTTTAAAAATTACGTACTTGCCTTGGGTGGAACCCAGAAGTAGCAATGGAAGCTGTGATTGCCACCTGGAAGGCCTGCTAACAACCACTTGATTCAAACCTTTTATGGGATAGCACTCTGTTCTGGCTCACAAGATAAATATAAAATGAGCTAACTGTAGTTTTGCTATGTTCTCTTTGTACAATTCTGGGCTCATTTTGAAATTAGCAATTTTGGGTAGATTTTCCTAGGGTTTTTTGTTTGTTTGTTTGTTTGTTGTTGTTTTTTTATCAGACTTGCAGATAAAGTGCCCATTCTCCCACATGCTTTTCATCAGGGAAGAGGGAGAGAAGAGGAAGGGGTATACCATGAATTAAAATGAAGGAGATGGATAACAATGCCCTGCGGGATAAATATCTTAGGGTAAATTCATAACAGAAACAAAAGTATAGACGCTGTATTAACGTTTTAATATTAAAACACAAAGGTCTATAGATCACTTGGACAGCCCTAGGTTAGTCATTTTACAGACTCTGTCCCCCAAACTAGAAGATATTTTTTTCAGGGGTCATTGACCCACACAAGAAGTTAATAAAGGGTCACAGAAGAGATTAAATGTAACTTAGTTCTTGCTGGATTACTTTTAAAGGTCACAGTGAAAAGTGAAACTACTGATTTAAAATTTAGAACACGATAATGAAAACATTTAAGAACAGGATAAAACAAAACTTTATTCAATATATCCAATGATGGGAATATTTTAAATTCTATTGTACTTCAGTCACTGTGGGCAATAATGTGGTGAGAGAAAGAAGTGGAAAGAGAAAAAGTTTAGGGAAAGAAACCTTGACAGACAGAGGGAGAAACCGACACAAACTGGGAGCCAAGAAAAACACATCAACACTGGGGAGAAGCTTATTGGATTACTTTTTTAATAAACCTATTTTGTAACACTCTGTCACAATCTTCATCTGTGTTGTTGATCTTCTAACTACCATTCTTCACCAAAGGCTATTCTTCACAATTTATCAACTTTATCCTTGAAGTTCTTATAGTGCTTACAACTGTTCAACAGAACTTTCTTTGATGATAAAAAAATCCTTACATATATGTGCTGTCTTGCACAGTAGCAACTTATAATTACTGAAGATTGACATATGGCTACTGCAAAAAGGAATGTAAGTTTTTATTGTACTTCTTTTAAATTAAATAAATGTGGCCATCTTGTTGGACAGTGCAGGTCTAAGGGGCATTTACAATGGAAGGAAAATTGGTCTCAAGGCCAATAAGCAGGCTATACTTGACCACTTCATTGGCTGTCCTCTGCCTTCCTAATCCTTTGTACAGTCCTCTGTACTTTTCTCTCCCAGATGAAGAAATATGTTCTCTTTGAGAAAGCATATAAAGAATGTTCTCTTTCTGTATAAACAACAAGTTGCTGGTAGGCATTGGGGCAAAAATAACAGCCAGGTTAAAGTGTACAGGGTATATACATCTATTTCCAAGAGTTTAATTTTTTCCTTTTTATATCTTTATTGTTATTAGTATAACATGTTATTTCCAAGACTTTTAGTGCTTTGAGGAACAAGGCTTTTAGAAGTGTTCAGGACATCATGCTGTCATTTTCATTAATAATAGCTATCAATCAGCAGTCTGACTCCTGTTCCAGCAATGTTCTGCAACATTTGATCATTTCTCTCAATCTACTTTCTAATGAATTTTCTTTGTATTCATTCAGCCTTATTTCATTCAGTAGTGACAAGCTTCTCTCCCTGTTAGCAAGTAGTGGATATTTTGTTTTTTGGAAGAGCTGCATGTTGGGCCTCATATAACCTTCAAAATGAAAAGATCTGGATATGAATGAGTCACCTGCAAATCATACCAATGTCTGCCTGTCTGGGTTAGTCAGTCCCTGAGCTTCACCCCATCCTGGTAGGTAGTGCTTGTTGCATAGTGGGCTATCAACAAATACCTGCTTTATGAATGAAGGAAAGAAAGTCAGACACATGTATGGCTGGACAGTCTTTTAAAAAGAAATAAGTTGTAGACTTAAAAGAATGTATGGTTGAAGAAGAAACCAAGAAACCAAGGCATAGGTAAACACCTAAACTGCTGCCTTGCACAACAATTTCAAAACTACAACTAAAAGACAAAACAAACATCATCTAGAACCACAGGAAGGCTGGCTGAGTGGAAATTCTACAACTATTATAGAAGGAAAGAGAAAAGCACACTGAGACTCAGAGGAGCTGCAGGAGGCAGAGGTACTGAGATGTGCACAATGAGGACTGATAACTGAGTGTGCAGCTGGCTTTCTCAAGAAGGGGGGGGGGGGGAGGAAGCTCCTGACTGCGCTGAACTCCAGTTCTGGGTGAGACTCTGGGGACCCAGACTCATACAGGGTGAAACTGGACTGCCAGGAAAGAGAAAAGCACACTGAGACTCAGAGGAACTGTGGAAGGCAGAGGTACCGAGGAGTGCGTGTGGGGAGGGTGGGCAGCTGAGTATGTGGTTGGCTTACTCTAGCAGGAGGGAGACAAAAGTTCTCAAATGCACTGAACTCCAATTCCAGGGGAGACTCTGGGAATCCAGACTCATTAGGGGGGAAACTGGACTATCTGGCAGCGGATGGAACTCAAGGGCGGCTTTCTCTCAGAGGTACTTGTAGTGGTTACCATGGGACACTGAGACACAAGGGCCTATTAGGAGAGGGCTGACAGGAAACCAATGCTGTCTGCTCCACCCTGAGACTCTGCCCCATCCAAGCTGAGCACAGAGGCTTTTGCAAGTTTTATCTCATAAGGGTGTCTCCAGCACAGACGTTCTCCCAGCATAGATACAACTGTTCCTCACAGCCAACTGGCCTGGAGGTCAATTCCTCCCAGTGATACCAACAACAGTCAAGGCTTAACTACAACAAGACTGTGCACACAGCCCAGAAAGGGGTGCACCAAGAGTGTCCATCTTAGGTAACTGGGGAGGCTGAGCCACTGGGCCCTATAGGACACCTAGCACACTAAGCCATTCTATCAATTCAGGGAAGCAGCCAAAATGTGGAGACAAAGAAAGAGGTCACAAATGAAAGGAATGGAGGAAAGCAAATAACTGGATATAGAGTTTAAAACCAGTTACAAGGTTTTTCAAGAATTTTCTAGAAAAGGCTGATAAATTTAGATAGACTCTTGAGGATATGAAAAAGGATCAACTAGAAATTAAATATACACTGACTAAAATAATAAATAGTATACAAAGGTCTAACAGCAGACTAGAGAATCACAAGAATCAAGTCAAAGATTTGAAATACAAAGAAGTAAAAAACACTCAACTGGGAAAGCAAAAAGGAAAAAGAATAAAAAAAAAAATTGAAGACAGTGTAAGGAGCCTCTGGAACAACTGTAAGCATACCAACATCCAAATTATGGGGGTGCCAGAAGAAGAGAGAGAGCAAGATAATGAAAACCTACTTGAAGAAATAATGACAGAAAACTTCCCCCACCTGGTGAAAGAAATAGACTTACAAGTCAAGGAAGCACAAAGAACCCCAAACAAAAGGAATCCAAAGAGGACCACACCAAGACATATCATAATTAAAATGCCAAGAGCAAAAGACAAAGAGAGAATATTAAAAGCAGCATGAGAGAAACAGTTCATTACCTACAAGGGAGCACCCATACAATTGTCAGCTGATTTCTCAATAGAACCTATGCAGGCCAGAAGGGAGTGGCAAGAAATATTCAAAGTGATAAATAGCAAGAACCTACAACCAAGATTACTCTACCCAGCAAAGCTATCATTCAAAATTGAAGACAGATTAAGAGCTTCACAGATAAGAAAAAGGTAAATGAGTTTATCACCACCAAACCAGTATTATATGAAATGCTGAAAGGTATTCTTTAAGAAGAGAAGGAAGCACCAGTGCATGAATCTGTGCACTGGGCCTCTAATATTTTAATAACCGTGTATGATATCAGATGGGTAGGAGATTTACCAGGATGATCAGTTAGTAAGTTATATAATGTATGCTCACTGGGATGTGCACCTGAAACTAATACTGTAATTAAAAAAAATAAAGATTAAAAATAATTTAAAATAAATAAGAGGAGGAAGAAAATGGCAAAGATAAAAATTATGAACAACAAATACATATCTATCAACAAGCGAATCTAAAAATCAAGTGAATAAAAAATCTGATGAACAGAATAAACAGGTGAACATTATAGAGTCAGGTACATATAAAGGGAGTGGACTGACAATTATTGGGGGAAAGGGGTGTGGGAGAGACTGTATAAAAATCGTACACCTATGGATGAGGACAGTGGAGGGGAGGTAAGTGCAGGGTGGGGGGGGGGTGTGTGGGAACCGGATAGAGGGGAGCTATGGGGGGAAAAAAGAGGAACAATTGTAATAATCTGAACAATAAAGACTTATTAATTTAAAAAATCTTAACCAAAAATGAATGTATTGTTGAAAGTATTACAGATGTCCCTCCCTCTTTTTCCTCATTAACTCTCTCCATCCTGCTCCCATCCCCACCCCAACCCCTCACCCCCAGGCCTTCAAGTGACGGTGTCCATGGGCTATGCATTTTTGCCTGTAAGTTCCCCCAAGATAGCTTTAGAGCTGAATCTTTCATTTCGACTACTCTTGGACTAGGAGGAAAATTTTACCAATGTCTTCTCAGCTGCAATCAGAGACCAGAGAGTCGTGTTTCCCCCCCCCCCACCCCCCCCCACCCCCCCGCACACCCTTGACCTCTAAGGACATCGCTCCCCTTTCAGCTCAAGAACAGGAACTGCTGCGTCCTCCTGGGTGAGAGGTAGACACACCGAGGCTCCCAGCCCAGGAGGCAGAGCTGGGCCCGCTCCCTGCTTCCCATGGTCGCCGCCGACCCCAGCCCCCTCCCCACCCTCAGCGTCAGAGGAGCCATCCGCCCGGACCCCGACGCCAGCTTCCCGCTTGCCCCCGGGGCCTCGCGTGGGCCGTGACGTCACCGCGCCCTGACGTCACGCCGACTTGCAGCGCGGTCTCCCAGGAGACTGGGGAAGCCGTTTCGCACCCAGCGGCGTCCAGGTCTAGGTGAGAGCGGACGCGAACAGCTTCCTGAGCCGCGGGGGCACCCGGGTCCCTGGGACGCAGTTCCGGCGCGGAGGCGTGCCGGCGCTGGGAGGGGGCCGGAAAGCGGGGCGCGGCGCCCCCTGGCTGGTCCCCGCGAGCCCGCCCGGCCGCCCCCGGGCCGGGCATCCACTCCCCCCGCCGTGCGCGGCTGGGCCTCCGCGCCGCGCCTTCCGCCTCCTCTTCCTGCCGCGGCAGGGCCCGCGGGAGCGGGGTTAGCCCGGGACGCGTCTCACAAGCCTCCCTGCAGGTTGGCTGGCCTCGGAGTGGGTCTGTGTTTGGAAAAGTCCGCCGCTGGAGAAGAAAGTTTCAGGACACCTCCCGCTTCACCTGACCCTGACCTGCTGCTCCTTTTGGGTCACTCACGCCAGGGGGTTAGTTTGACGAATAGGACGGGAGCTGCCAGACCATGGAGATCCTGGTGTGGGGCAGGGAATCGGACGTGAACAGTCAAGAACGAACACTTCTGTGTTTTTGACATTTTCCTCCAGACCCTTTTGAGAGAGAGAGAGAGGGAGAGAGGGAGAGGGGGAGAGAGGGAGAGAGGAGAGAGGGAGAGGAGGAGAGGGAGAGGGAGGGAGGGAGAGAGAGAGAGAGAGAGGGAGAGAGGGAGAGAGGGAGAGAGAGAGGGAGAGAGTCAGAAACACCTTACATAGCTGCTGCCAGTTATCGCCGCAGCATCTCTAGCCAAAGGGCAGCCTACATGAGTTTAAAGTGACAGAATAAAAGGGGCTCATTTGATAAAACATGCAAAGTAATGTAAGGAACATTAAAATGAACAAATTTCCCGGTGGCCAAAAGGGAAAGAGACCTTTCCCCCTCCCTCTGCTGAGAAAGGTCTTATTTGTGAATGCTCCCTCTATTCTTTAATATGCATGCAAAGCTTTTAAAGACCCATATTGTTTTCCTTGAGGGCCAGGGAGCCATTTCTTTAAAATGTAAATATCAAGGAAATTAACTCCCCTATTTCCATATCTCCTACAGTTTTAGTTTAGGTGCCTTCTAAGCAACCACCTACTTTGTCAGTAGAGATTTGCATTCCTTAGAACAGATGCAATTAGCTAGAATAGATGGCTGTTTGGATTACCAGGTGATTTAAAATGAACTGGCAAGCTGTATTGAGGACAAGTTACCAGCTATCTTGAGAACATGGGTGTAATGGATTGTATCTGCCTGGCTGTGTAAAAAGTGGGATTTCTTTCTGCCTCTGTAATCTCATTAGCAGATGGATTGTGATATGCCTCACAGTCTGGTTAAATGCATATTCAATAACGAAATTACTATCTTTCTGCTACAGAGAGATTTTTTCTGGGTTAGCAGAATATTTTATTTTTCATTTTTCCTCAGTAATCAGAACCGGCCAGTTCTCCTTTGGTAGAATAAGACCACAAAGTTGGGATAGATTTACAAACAATCAAGGTTCTAAATCAAAACTGCCTTGTTTACACTGTCACTAGATCCATGCTCTCAAATAATTTTGTGGGTGGAATTTTGAAAGGGGATTTAGTTGGTAATTTGGGAGAAATTCTCCCAATAGAGTTTAATTAAGCTGATGCCATCTTATTTTTCTACTGGCGAGTCCATTGTAAAATGGCAGAAATGAGAATAATGAGCCTTTTGTGAATAATGAGCGCTTGCCACATCATGGTTACAGTCTGCCAAACATCACATTATTATGTATTTGGTCATGTGGGCCAATGTTAACTATGTCAGTTAACTTTACCCCATAGTCAGCTGCAGTTAACTTTACCAAACACACACACACACACAATATTTATATGGGAAGACAGATGATTAATTATTTGTTGTAAACAGCAGCTCATTAAAACAAGGGATTTTATGCTAATAGGATAGGGAGGGAATCTTCTACCATTGGTTATATAATTTTAAAAAATATTGCCACTATAAGAATTTTTGTTATATATAATTTACCTGCTACCTAGGCTGGAGTTGCTATCTCAGACTTCTAGGCCTCTCCTGACAAAATCTTACCCTGATCAAAAGCAAACAACCTCACTAATACTGGCCTTCACTAATACTGGCTCCTGTTCTTTGTCTACAGCTATTGGCCCTTAGGCCTTGTTCCCTGCTGTGGAATTGGGCCTATATCATTTTGCTCTGTTGCCACCCTTACTCCTTGGGTATCCATAAGCATCTCTCACTCATGAAATTGGACCGTCTATTCTTCCTCCATATTTGAGAAAGATTAAAAAAACACATACACAAAACCCAAATGGCTCCTCCATTCTGTGAGGTTATATGAAAGTAATGATAGAGTGTTACATAGAATGAGAGGCCCAGTGCACGAAATTCATTCACGGGTGGGGTTCCTAGGTCTTGCTGGCAATCAGGACCTATTGGTAACATCTCATCCAGTCCCGAGCTGGACGGGCCAGCCAGGGCTAACCAAGGCCAGCCAAGGCCTGCTGGCTGTCGGCCAGGGCCTGGGGGCCTGCTGGCCAGGGCTTGGGAGCCTGCCTGCTATTGGATGGGACAAGGGACCAAGGGAGGTTTGCGGAGGACCAGGGGAGATTGGCTGGCTTTGGGGGCATACTGACCACCAGGGGGCAGCTCCTGCATTGAGTGTCTGTCCCCTGGTGGTCAGTGTACATTATAGCGACTGGTTGACTGGTCTTTCCAGTTGTTCAGTCATAATGGTTGCTTAGGCTTTTATATATATAGATTATTTTATTATAAAATGAAAATCTATTAAAAGTAAAATACCTACATAAAAATAATAAAAATGTTCATTTTTAGTTAAATTTGGCACTTGGCTTCTCATACTTTGATGTTTCTTCTGTTCAGGGCCTGCATATCATATTTAATCTGATAATATATTTTTTAATTATATTCATATCACAGTTGCTTTTCTTGTTTGCCAAACTAAAATACCATATTCACCCATTATTTTAGTAGCTTTTCAGAAAAAAAAACCAAAAAAAAAAACCTCTAAAAACATCTTGAAATAAATGGTTACATTTAAAATTTTATGATTCTTATTTTGTATTTGCAAAGCAAATAATTAGTATTAAACCACCACAGAAATTACAATTGGACTACTAATTTTTTTTTGTTAAGTGTGAATACATTAAAAATGTTTTTTAATTCTTTATTGTGGAAAGTATTGCATATGTCTCTAAAGAAAAAATATTTGCAACTACAATACTATCAGTAGTCTCTGTAGGTCCTTCCTGTTCTATTGGCCTACTAACTAACCGAGAAAACCCCATTTATACTGTTTAACACTGATGAAATAAACATCTGTTTAAATAGTTATCACCATTCTTCTTCCAGCATCACCAAGAATTTATATATTTTAATTTGAATTCTTTTACATTATTCAATTCTGACCATTGTTATCAATATTTTTAGGTTATTTTACTTCAGAGCTCCTTCAGTGTATTTTGGGAAATTATGGATCGTCATGTTCCCATGCACGCATTACCTGAAGAAATCCAAAAGGTATGACATTATATTGTGTTGTTACAAAATAACATTGGAAACATGTTAGCAGGTAGGTAATTCTAAAACTTGGGGAAATGAATTCAGAGGTTCTGTATATATTTTGATCAGGGCATCTGTAATGAATTGATAAAGTGGGGAAGGAAATTATCTTAATGGTCAGAATTGTGGAATTCAATTCAGTGCAGTATTTGACCTGTGAATAAAGGCAAATATACAATTCCAGCACAGTATTTGACCAGGTGTTTGCTGAGCCTGATAGTATATTTAGGTATTTTCTAGCAGCTTTGCAGAAAACAAGGTGTTTTTAGCCGAAATCGGTTTGGCTCAGTGGTAGAGCATTGGTCTGCGGACTGAAAGGTCCCGGGTTCGATTCCGGTCAAGGGCATGTATGTTGGTTGCGGGCACATTCCTGGTGGGGGGTGTGCAGGAGGCGGCTGGTCGATGTTTCTCTCTCATTGACGTTTCTGGCTCTCTATCTCTCCCTTCCTCTCTGTAAAAAATCAATAAAATATATTTAAAAAGAAAACAAGGTGTTTTTAAAAAACAAACAAACAAACAAAAAAACACACACAAAAAAAAACCCCACTGAATTAATGTGTCAGTTTAAAATTTTAAGTGATCCTTAGTCTATATTGCAAAACAAATAATTAGTAGTAAACCACCACGGAAATTAAAGTTAGCTTGTAATTTTTTTTTATGATGCTAAGTTTTGAAGTCTCTCTCTAAGGATCTATTTCAGTTTTACCTTAAATCTTGCATGAGGTGCTGTTTTAAGCCTTTTCTCATTATATATATATATATATATATATATATAGTTAACAAGTTAACAATTCTTCTTCAGAGTTTTTTTTACTCTTCTCCCTGTTAGTTCATATCTGTCCTCAGGCAAATTCATTACTCCTATATTTAGTTTAGCATTGCATCTATTATTAACAGTATAATTTTAAAAATAGTTTTTTGAAATTGATCGACAAAATATGAATGAAATCTCAGACCTTAGCTATCATTAATCATTCAGGTTTTTTAGTAAATCTGCAGTCAAATCTTAAGCACCAGTCTGTTACTTTTTAATTGAAAAATCGCAGTCAGCTCTCAGATATGCTTTTATCCTTTGTTCATGTTGCTTTGGGATTCCTGTTACCATTGATTTAACTGGATGCTTATAGTTACTGCATGTTCTTCAGATTTATGTAAACTGCAGCCTTGCAGGAACTGGAAGGGAAGTCCAATTACCAGGAAAAAAACCTTTTCATCCACTGCATTTAATTTGTTTCAGGGTTTAAGTTAGATGTAAGAGATAGAAAGCACAAAGAGAGCTCAGCTATACTCTGCTTACCTGAGAAATGGTGCTTTTATGTGTTGATAGACATGGAATGTCCCTCCTCTCTCCCTCAACTGAATTCCTCCCATAGACTACCCTGTGTGGTAAAGATGAAAAGAAAACAAAGCCATCTGCAAGAAACAATTCCCATACTTGAGATTCCAGTCATCTGTCAGGAAGAGGATATATAATGAGATGAAAAAAAAAAAAAAAAAAAAAACACCTCTAAAAGACAGTGTATAATTTAAATGTCCTATAAGATAATAGCTTTTTTTGAGAAAGGAAGAGGTAGGGATTGGAATCCCCAAGTATTGAAATAGTCAAGGGAGGAGCTTTATGCAGGAAGTAGAACTGGGATTGGTCCCTGAAGGCAGAATATTGCTATAGACAGATAGGCTATAGAGCATGCTAGGCTAAGGGAACAGCCTACTGGTGGGAAAAAGCTGGCCAAGTTAGAGAATGTTTAACAACTTAAGCATTTTGAATATATGAGAAAGTATGTATTTATTTTGGCAAGGTTTTTATGAGAGTTGTAGAATCTCCCTGCCCCCCCCCCCCATGTTTAAGGTACTTTATAAGTAAACTAGAAGTCTGGGGCATGAAATTTGTGCACAGGGGGGGGGGGGGTGTCCCCTCAGCCTGCATCCTCCCCAATCCGGGACCCCTAGAGGGATGTCTGACTGCTGGTTTAGGCCCGAACCGGCAATTGGACATCCCTCTCACAATCTGGGACCACTGGCTCCTAACTGCTCACCTCCCTGCCTGCCTGACCACCCCTTAACTGCTCCCCTCCTCTCTCCCCCGCCAGCTTCATCATCCCTAACTGCCTCTGCCTGCTGGCCTGATCGCCTTCAACTTCCCCTACCGGCCTGGCTGCACCTCACTGCCCCCACCCTGCTTGCCTGGTCAGCCCCAACTGCCCACCCCTGCTGGCCTGGTTGCCCCTCACTGCCCCTCTCTGCTGGCTTGGTCACCCCTCACTGCCCCCACCCCCGCCAGCCTGGTCACCCGATGCAGCCTGCTGTTTAGTCGTTTGTTGTCCCTCATGAACCCCCCTTGCCGGTCTGGTCATCCCACGTAGCCTGCTGTTCAGTCATTTGGGAATCCCTCACTAACCTTCCTCTGATCTTGTCACCCCTTGCAGCCTGCTGTTCGGTCATTACTGTGAGGACATCCTGACAAATTTGCATATTATCTTTTTATTAGTATAGATCATTTAAAGATGCTGAAACCAAGCATTTCATAAATCTGCTGTTATATTCTCAAAGCAGGAATGACAAGCAGTTATCCATGCAGAGAAGAGGTCAGTCCAGGAGAAGCGTAGCTGCCTAAGGCCCTGGACTCATGTTCTGATTACACCTTTGTTTTGCTGAATGTTTAGACTATAAAGTGCAGCTTTGCACTTTTTCAGATCTAAATTAGAGACATTTCTACAACATATATTCACCCAGTGCCTATATGTGCCAGGCATTGTTCTGAGTACTGATTATACAGCAACCAAAATGTGTACATGCACCCCACAGCCTCTTAAAGAATTGTCTAAGAATAAGTTGTTTGTTTTCCATAACTTCTTAACTATGTTTGATTTATTTAGATTGCCCATAATGTACTTGTTAAATTGCCTAGTGATCAGGAAGTATATCTATGCAGTCAACTTGCATACTTCATTCTATATAGAATCATGTTAAATAGATACAGGGTGGAGCAAAATTAGGTTTACAGTTGTTCATATGGAAAATAATACAATAATCTATACTAATAAATGTTAATATGCTAATTAGATCAGGTTGACTGGATATCTTCTGGACGTCCGACTTTCTTCTGGACAGTAAAGGGGCAACCAGGCTGGCAGGGGGGCAGTTAGGGGAAAACCAGACCAGTAGGGGGCAGTTAGGGGCCAACCAGACTGGTGGGTGACCAGGTAGGGGGTGACTAAGCTGGCAAGGGACCAGTTAGGGGGTAATCAAGCCAGCAAGCAGAGGCAGTTAGGGGCAATCAGGCCGGCAGGTAGAGTCGTTAGGGGTGATCAGGCAGGAAGGCAGGTGAGTGGTTAGGAGCCAGTGGTCCCGAATTGCGAGAAGGATGTCTGACTGCTGGCAGTTGGACATCCCCATAGTGGTCCCAGATTGGAGAGGGTGCAGCTGGGCTGAGGAACCTTTTCTCCCCCGCCCCCCACCATGTACGAATTTCGTGCACCGGGTCTCTAGTTAATAAATAATACAAGAATAAACTCTGTTTTCTGTACTCACCGCTGTAAACCTACTTTTGTCCCCCTGCATAGTGTATAGGGTAATAGGAATACTTTGAATTAGAATTATTTACTAACTAGGGACCTGTTGAAGGAAGATTCCTGCAAGAACAGGGCTTCCGGGGGGCTTTCCTCCTGGTACCACCACCTCTCCTGCTTCTCCCCCCCTCCTTTTCCTGCCGCCTCTGTCTCCTACCCCTCACCCCAAGCTTTTCCTCCCGCTGCGAACTGCCCTACCCGCCCCGTCCTGCCCTCTGCTGCTGTTTTCCCTCCTGCTGCTGCAGCCTTGCTTCTGCTTTTCCTCTCTCTTCCTTCTATGCTGTCTTCAGTCTTCACTCCTCCTTCCCTCAGCATATGCAAATTAACCACCATCTTTATTGGGTTAATTTGCATACTCTGATTGGCTGTGCGTGTAGCAGTGGTGGTTAATTTTCATGTTACTCTTTTATTAGTGTAGATACTTCATTATTAAAATGAAGAAAACATATATATATATATATATATATATATACACACACACACACACACACATACATACAGTGGTGCCTCGCATAAAGAACGCCTCGCACAGCGAATGCTGCACACAACGAACTTCATTTCATGATTCATACAACGAACTTCGTTTCACACAACGAAGTCGCCCGAGCTTCCACGACCGCTTTGCCCGAGCTTCCACGACTGCTTCGCCCGAGCTTCCACGATCGCTGCCGATGTATTGCATCCTTCCGCGCAGGCACTGCAGGCAGTCGTTAGTCACTGCACTTAACTTAAGCACGTATCGCGGCAATCGTTCTTCATTACGAATTAAATCACGCACGTATCACGGCAGTCGTCCTTTTAAGTTAAACTCAATATTTTTTTTATATCATGGCTTCTAAAAAAAGCAGGAAGGTGATTTCTGTTGAAATGAAACTGGACAATGCTCAAAGGGAAGCGTCATCTGATAACGAGGAGCAACAATCAAACAATCAACCAATCCCAACTGCTGACATCAAGAACATCCTGGTCAAATGGAAAGCAGTTCAGGAGTTTACCAATGCCCACTATCCGGATTCAGCTGAAGCAAACAGGATCAACGATTTTTACTCCAATACTCTTGTCTGTTATTTCCGGCAGATGTTGGAGAAAAGAGAAAAACAAACGACTTTGGACAGGTTTTTCATGAAACCATCAGCCAAAAAGCAGAAAATGGATGAAGATGTGCAAGATTCGGTAGACTCTACTTAGACTGTCTTAAAATTTAAAAAATGTGTGTGTTTTTTTTTTTAAATTATGTTTTTAGATGTATCTAAATAAAAATAATAACAAAAAATTTATCTTTTTTATGTCATCTTAGCATATTTTATGCTACAGAACGAATTATTTTTTTTAACATGTATTGTTATGGGAAAACGCGTTTCACATAACAAACTTTTCGCATAACAAACT